CGGGCCGGGCGCGGCGGGGAGGCGGCTGTAAGTGTGGAGGTTACCTGCAGGGAGCCTCCGCGCTTCGTGTCCCACGGGAGCCCGTTCGCTGTCAGTCCTGGTAGACGCTGTGGATTTTCATTTAGGCTTGATGTTTCTTAAACGGTTTTTCATTTAACTTTTTAATTGATGATGTTGCAAGATATCTGTACTTGCTTTCACCTTAATACATAACCGATGTAGTTTTGTATTACAGATGTTTGCTTTTTTTTCTTTAGAATCTTGATTTAAAAAGACCCAGTGTGTTGAAGCCATGGGTTTGTCTGCGTCCTCCCCGGCTGCTACAGGTCAGTCGCCGAGTGCATCCAAGCAACGTCAGATGGCGTCTCCACCTTCAGAATGTCCTATGCATCAGGAAAAAATGAGTGGTAATTATTCTTGAAACTTAAATGAAATAAACTCTTTACATGGAAAACAGATTAAAAAAGATTTGGAAAATAGAAAAATGATTCTGCAAATAAAAAACTTGAGCTTTTCCCTTAGCAAAAATTGCTTTCAAGTAACTTTTCATGAAAAGGAGCCAGTTGTTCACCAGAACAGTAAGCAAACTGCTTTGTCTGCAGAGACAGGAGGTGCTTGGTGTAGAACCTGTGGGTTGCTCCCGATTGTCGCATTTCACAGAGGTCGTGCAGATCTATTCGCATCGAGTGGTACACCCACAGAGAGTCAGGGAGGTGCAAGGCTCACTACAGAGATGGTAACTGGGAGCAGGTGGTTGTTGCTAGAAAGCATGCATCTGGAAAAGGGCAGCAGAAGGGTGGAATAAGGTGAACATCTGGTAAAGGAGGCCATCAGCTTTTCTGTTGACATCATCAACACATGTTGAATTAACATTGCTGTGGAAATCTTACGTACAAACAGTTCACTGTAGGGGCCAGCGTGGGATGGGGAATGAGCATTCAAGGACTACATAAGAAGCTTAGATCTTACCATGGTGCTAGGTCCTAAAATGCAGGAAAGTTAACAGTTAAAACTGTTGCAAAGCTCAGAAGAAAAAGCAAAATACCAGTTTATATTTACATGAGCATTCAATGAACTGTTTTCCATTTCCTGTTATGCCCTAGAGTTTTCAGTTTGTAGCAAAATAGATAGTTTTTTTTCTTGTATTTGAGGTTGTCCAATGCACGTGAAGACTCCTGATTGTAGAACTGAGAACACAGATGATGTTCCTGCACATCAAGAAAGAGCGTATGAATTTGTAGCATGTCCGGTGAAGTCTGGTGTATCTCAAGTGAAAGATGACATAGATCCTAGCAATATGGTAACTGTTGCTTATTTCAGATGTTTTCTTCAGTCTTGTTTCTTTTGTAGTACTATCCCCAAAATGCAAATAGGGATATTGTCTAAGCTGGCAACTCTGGCAAATAACGTTATTTTTTAATTTGTAACGCTACTTTTTCTCATTTTGTGTGCAAATATTTGTATGAAAACATGTTACATCTTATTTAACATTCTTTTCTTCAAACTTACATCTTTTTCGTAAAAGGTGGTTTTCCAGTTTGTAAATATGTTTTGCTGTCTATTTTTGTTAGTTACATGCATGGTTTTTATGGTATGTTAGTGGGTTTTAGGTTCTGTGTAATGGCAATATGGGTAAGTTCTGATTCAGATGTTTCCAAGATTTCCTCTGATTTACAAAAAGCACTGCTCTTTTGGAAGTTGGAGTTTAAGCAAAAGGGTTCCTTTAGTCTTCAGATGACAAAGTTGTGCAAAGAGTTCTGCTGCAAAAGAGAAAGATAATTTTGGTGGACTTAAATAAAGGCTGAACTTCTTGGTCTTTGTAGCAGCTGGTTGATTATGCTTTGATTTTTCTCAAACACCATAACATAAAAAAATTTCATACTCTAGTTTATTGTTGATTCTGCTTGTTTTTTAGATGCCTCCTCCTAATCAGCAGGTGATTCTGCTTGTTTTCTAGATGCCTCCTCCTAATCAGCAGCCATCCCCAGATCAACCATTTCCATTGTCAACTGTTAGAGAAGAATCTTCCATTCCTAGAGCACATTCTGACAAGAAATGGGTCTACCCTTCAGAGCAAATGTTCTGGAATGCTATGCTAAGAAAAGGGTAAATACACTGTGTATTATCAGATGGAGCCTGTGAGCCTGAAATTCATAAAGTAATATGATTAGTTATTATTCATTGATACTGTTTAAGAGTTTGTGGACTCTAACCGGAAAATAATTAACTAGCTCTTTTAAAAATTACTATTTTATAAACAACGTTCTTTTAAAGGGTGAACTGGTCTCAAAGGCCGTGTCTCCTCTAGCCATCAGTGAAATGGTAGGGAATGTCAGGCAACTGCCACTAGCTCAGAAAATTTTCTGAAAAGTCAGTGCATAGGCATAGACAAACTTTGCATGATTGCCAGCTTTCAAACTGAATTGGCTTCATGCTAATCGTATAAACTGATAGTAGAACGTTCTGTGATTGTGAGGACATCTAACTTGACTTTGCAAAATTGCAGAAAATGTGAAAATTGTTTGATGAGTAGGTGTTTTCAGTCCTTGGGTAAATTCAGTGTAGGTAAGATCTAACTGAATGATAAATGTCTCCTGTGGCCTACAAAACCTTCTGGGCTGTTATTTTTCTTATTCTTTTATTTCTTTGTTATTCTCAAACAGATAAACTTTAAAGGCGGTTACTGTTAAAACAATAGTAATTCTTTGTTCTACATATTGATATTGTTCTTAAGACAGTGTCATAAGCAGTCTATATTGAACACACGTTTTGATCCTGTAAATACTTAAACTGTTCAATGTTACGCCTGTTGAAAAGGAAGCACGCGCGTTGTCGTAATGCAGAGTCAGAGAGATGAAAGGCATTTGTAAGTGTATGCAAAATGTATTGAATACAGGATTCTGTGCATTAGAAATGCAAGTGGGATTTTTCCTAAGCATTTTTAAAAATACTGTGGATGTACTGCTGTTTGCACACTGTGATAACTTTCTGATCCAGTTAAGCTGTTAATTTGACTAACTAGAATTTGTGGATTTCTATGATGATAACTTTGATAACTATACTTTTACACAGAAAATGAAGTGGTTCTCAAGATGCTTAAGCAGATGAACCAGAAGTTTCCATACTTCCTTTGTGTCTTTGCATAAAACCGTAAATCTCGTGATTCAAAAGCCCATCAGATAAACTGAGGAAAGTGGAGCAGTTATGCTGTAATGCTTGTAAACTGTTTTCAAATTCTCATTTTTTAGGTGGAGGTGGAAAGATGATGACATAACAGGTGAAGACATGACCAACATTATTAAAATTCACAACCAAAATAATGAGCAAGCGTGGAAAGAGATTTTGAAGTGGGAAGCTCTTCATGCTGGGTACGTACATGTGAAATGAATAGCAAATCCTTTGGTTTAGCTCTTGCTTTTGTAATTCTTTGAAAGTAGAATGTCTGTTTAGTTTTCATGGAAATATTCTGGTGCTGGTATGTCTCAAAAGTTATGGTCTTGTTAATCAAAATGCAGGCTCCTACATGGAGGAAGATTATCCAAAAGAGCTTAACTGGAACTGAGTAACTATTACATTGATAAAACTGATGAGCATTTTGGTGACGTGTGTAAAATGTGGATTTGAAGAAATTAACTTCTTACTGTATCTATTTGGGAATTATTTAATTGAAATCTTTATGTTATGAAAAAGACAGGAGATGTAAATTTAGATTAGAAGTGACTGATGTAAAACAAACTTCCACTTTTTAGGTCAGTATAGTCCCTGTTCTTAGAAGAGACAGACCAGTTAAGCATTCTGTATGTAGAAATCATTCTCTGAAATTCCATGATCTTTGTTACACAGTAGTTTGGATTACGGTTTTCTGTTCTTTAATCCATTAAACCTGTGGATTAGATTTGCTGAGAACTGCTCTGTTGATAAGTTAGGACAATGGTGTGGAACCTATCAAAGGTAGTTTATCATACCAGCAGTACGTGCTGTCAGAAACTGGAGGACACTTCAAACCTTTAAAAAAAAAAATAAAAAAATCTGGTTTAGATCCCTTGTAATTAATTCTTTACTCTTTCTCCTATTCAGTTTTCCTGTTACTAAAACAAATTACCATAGTGGTTTAAACACTTAAAATAAGACTGTTTTAACTATTGTGTCTTTTAATTGTGTGCACAGGGAATGTCCATGTGGACCATCACTGATGCGGTTTGGAGGCAAAGCAAAGGAGTATTCACCAAGAGCCAGAATACGTTCATGGATGGGGTACGTGGGCAGGAAAGAAGGTCTTACAGTGAGGTGGGAGGGTAGGGAGACGTGTCTGGAAACATGGTATAGAATTAATTTTAAGATGTTTCAAAACTGGAATTGCAAGTTATAATTACTGGAAGGTAGAAGTACTACTGGGGATCTTATGCCAGTATCTGGATAGATAAATCTTCTTAAATAGGACTTCTACTCCCTCTCCCAGGTTCATAATATCCATTAAAATATCTGCATGGTCTATTATCTGTATTTCCAGATACGAACTTCCTTTTGACAGACATGACTGGATTGTTGACCGATGTGGAAAAGAAGTGCGATACGTTATTGATTACTATGATGGTGGAGCAGTAGATAAGAACTACCAGTTCACTATCCTGGATGTTCGCCCTGCGTTTGACTCTCTCTCAGCTGTATGGGACAGAATGAAGGTAGCTTGGTGGCGGTGGACTTCATAACTGCTCTGGTGGTGTGTAGTTGAAAAGCAAACCGCTTTCCTCCTAGAATACGGATAAGTGAATGCTAGGACTTGAAATAGAAGTTCACTGCAACTGCCATTATTTTGATCATCACCACTGTTCTTTGGGGATGGGAAGGGAAGATGGGGAAATCTGTTGTTAAGTACATCAATGTTTTATGGTGTTTTGAATTAAATAATAAAGTTACAGTAGCAAAATCATGTATCTTAATTTTCTTAAGAGCTGGGAAATCTCTTCTCACTTCGTCACAGATTCTGTGTAAGCTTGCCTTTTGATTTCATGACTCCAGCGCTGCATGAGATGTGTTAGGTTTCTCATTCTGACTGGAGTTCTGAGTATTACTTAAATAGAGAAAACTGGAAATTTCATAAACGATTTCACATAGCTACAGTATTTGGATACTTACACGATGAATAAAGGGTAAAAGATCTGGACTACTTCAAACTGCATGTTTTATTAACTATATAAAACCATGTATTTATTTTCCCATGGGCACTTTACCTGTTCAAATAAATGCTTCCTCAGAAAACTTTAGTCAAGTTTATTCTGTTAAAGGAAGTATAGTGTAATATGAGTATTTTTAAAGGTACCTTAAGTTGAAAAGGAGAATATACTCATGCCTTAATCTGCAGTTTATCTTTGAACAGAAGGACATCTGTTAGAAGCAGGAAATGCGTGTCAGTTGCTTTTGAAACATTTCTAGAAGGAGATAAAACTGATATTTAATGGCTATTTATTTGAGTATTTAAAAGGTTTGTTTTCTGATGTAAGGAAACTGTGTTCTTGCAGTATTTTCGTGTCTTCAATGTGTGTCTCATGTAATGCATTCAGGACAGAATGAAGCCTTATTTAAAGAAACTCCTGCAGTGCATCTGTATTTTCCATCTTGGCTTCAACTGTGCTATGGCATGTTTTTTTTTTTTTATATAATACGGAATTGCACAAGGGTGTATGACTACACAGTCATACATGTTTCTGCATGGTGATTATAGTGAGGTCTATTACAGATGTGTATATATCTTGGCTAAAAGGGTATCAAAAGTGCCAAGAAATAAGGTTGATTTGAGCCTTTTTGGAGAGTGATGCATTTTAATGATGTGTGGCTTAAAGATTTGATTAATGCTTTGCTTAATAAGGGAAACTAACTTTATTTTTTTTAAGTCTTCCACTGTAATAGCTTTAAATTTACATGGCTTGGTAAATTTCAGGTGTCACATACCCCTAAATTTAAGTTATTCCTCCCTTTCAGCATTTATTACTCTTGAGAATGAGTCCTCCATGCAAAACACTTGGGAATGGAAGGAGTAAGAGAGTATCGCATTGTAGCCTCTCAAATGGGAGAAGCTTCCTTCATTAAACTTCACAACCTTAACTGGGAACCAGCTGTACGTTCATTTTCTGAAAGTGGTTATTGTTAACTGACATTGAAAGCTTTTTTTTTTTCCTTTTTCTCTCTTTTTGTCCCCCTGAGGGAAAGCCCCTCAGTGTTTCAGTCAAGTAACTTCCCATTTAGGAAAAAATTATTCAGGGAAGCTTCCATACTTTAAGGTATTAATGGAGATGAATGGTCCCCACTTCAGAGGCAACTGTCCTGCATGGTAGGAATAAATATTACCCAGAAGTCCAGAATCCTAAGAGAAAACCACATTCTTACCCCTATCCACTCTCCTAATTTCTTTTTCACCTTTTTAGTGAGTCATACATAAATGAGTAATAGTTTGGGCCAGAAAAAAAATAAACGTCCATCCCAGTAGGCAATGTATAGATGAGAGATGAGGAGTATGTGAGCTTATATGAAGCATACCTGATAATGGAAGAGCTGCTCTTCTCTGTTCTAACAACAGAGACTGAGGCTTACTGCTTTTCGGGGTGTTTTTTTTGTTTGTTAGGTTTATGTATACATTTGGTAACTTGATATATGCAGAATTCTGTATTTCTCACAACGAAATATGGAAAAGGTACGGGGAAACGTAGGGAATGCTTCAGAAGCTTCAAAAGAACAAGTTTGCTTTGTTGATTTCAGAAGTGTGATGTTGAGTGTCTTACAGAAATTGTAATTGCTGCTAAATCTGGTGAAAGGTGGCACATGCCACTTCATGTGTTTACTGTCTTCTGTTATTTTCCATCTCATAGATTCAAGATTGTTCTTTTCTGTGCTACTGTTGATGGATGAAATGTACTAGTTTGTCATCAAATGTAAGGAGAATGAAATAAATACACTTTTCTTAACTTTGGTATTTGGTGATCGTATTTTTAGCTGTAAGAATTATTAAGATGAGGTCTTGCATGTCTCGTATGAGATTGTAGTCTGTTACAACTAATCACATCTTTGAATATATACTACTAATTTATTTATGTGAATACAGAACCAAACACCAAGAATTCAATTCAAGTGTTTGCCAACCAAACCAGCAGCTCTCAGAATAGGAATATAAGACAACAAATATATTCATCCTGAGTCTGACTAACTTCTGAAGAGAGGAATGCAAGGAATATTTTTTTTAATCATCCTTGAAAGTATAAATGAAAATAATTCATTTCTACAAGCAGTAAGACTTAAGGAGGTAAACATGGACTTTCCTCTTTTAGGTTTGGGTTACTTTATGCATGATGTTGGCAGTTCACTATTTCTTAGAAGATGGGTGTCAGAGAGATTAGAGTTCTAATGTAAACTTGAAAAACAGTGATTTAAATTGATAGTTTTTTACCCTTTGGGAGGATGTTTTAACTGTAAAACTTGTTTAGGCTGCATTAAATGTTATATATGTGTGTGCGTGCATGTGTATAAATAAATACATTTATATCCTTTCTTTGTAAGTATAGAAAGATACGGAGAGTTCATGAAGCTCAAAAAAGTGAAGAAATATCCTGATCAGGCCCTTTCAGGGAATTCTGCAGCAGCATCAGGTTCCCAGTCTCAATCAGGCCAAACAGAAGTTTGGAACCCAGCATCTCAAACTGGGTTAACCTTGCGCACGTGCAAAAGGGAGAATGTGGATGCTGTCACTAAAGCAGGGCCACTTCTTACATCAGTTGTGTATTTAGGTATCTAAAGTTCACCTAGGCTCTGCTCTACTGTGTCAAAGCCCTGCTTGACCTGTTGTGTTTGACTCTTCAGTTAAAACAAGTTAGGAGAGCTCTCCTGGTCTGCAACTGAAGATGTGTCCTTCAAGGATATTGTGGTGCCCAGAAACTGCAATGTCTGTGACTGACTGATGGAAAAGGGCTCCGGCATAACACTCAAACTGTGATCAGGTCGTGGGTCATACAGATGTAGTCAAGAGTGTTGCTGATGTTTATTACCTGGAGCAGAAGACCATTCTGCATTCAAATACTTGGTTTTGGCCTCTTGCTGTTGCATCCCTTCAGGCAGCCAGTGACTACCCTGCAGTTAGGATGCATGGCACCATGCTGCCAGTCTAGAGGGGAATGGAACATGCGATTGCTGCGCCTACAACACCCTCCCTACTCAGTAACGTTGGCCCAGCTCTCTGCTCTTCTGTCATGTGTCCTGGTAGTACCTGGCCGACGTGAGTGCCCTGTAATTAGGGGGCAATTCATGGGCTTCTCCTTCGGGGATGCCTGGAGTTTCTGGCTATATGGAGTCATCCTATGCCATTTTGTCCTTGTGGTGTACTAGCAGGCAGTTTGGAAAGGGGAGATGTAGCTCTTCTGTCATTCTTGATTTGTTTGTTTATTTCCCTCTCCCCTAGAAACAACTTTGCTCCTCTCATATTATGCGAATGGTCCTAGCTTCAATCTTTTTAGGAATTTTTCAGCTAAGCTCTAGAATTTCTGCCATACTTTGCTGTAGAAGAAAGACACTGTGTTGCTGGTAAGAAAGTATTTGTGTCCATTGATTATTGTGATTTTTTTTTTAATGCCAAAGCAAAACATTGTGGATTACCATTTTTGAATTAAGATGTGAAAGAGGTATGCTAGTTTAGTGTGAAATGGGACAACAATGCTGTCTAATGTTTGCATAATGTATTTACGATCAGGACTATAATGTGCCTTGTAAATAATTATTTACAGTCTAAAATATGATGGTGAATATTGTTCTGCTTCCAAAAGGTGTGAGAGTGGCAAAGGATCTCTCAGTGCTCTGGAAGTGATCATAGTCTGTCATCTGATGCACTCTCATTTTGTTCGTTCAGCTCTCATGTCAAAGTGTCGGGAAGTGATAGCTGATGTGCCAAAGTTCAAAGGATGGAGGCACAGGTACTAAGGTTGCCGTGGCTCAGCAGCTAAAAATGAAGGGAACTGGTAAACTGGGCACTACCTAATTTTTGGACTCTTACTAATGGTATGGTTTTTATAGAGGGTAGAAATGCCCCTTTCAAAAACACCACTCCTTTACTTTTTAAAGAGAGCTGTTCCCAACATTTACTAAATTCAATGACAGTTTCATCCTTTGTCTCTTTTTGCTTGCACCTGGAGGAAAATCCATGTAGAAAGGTTCCACAACCAGATATACTTGATGTGGAAGCTGAACTTACTTTGAGGATAGAATATACTAGTCATAATGCTAGCTGTGCTTATATCTTCAGTATCACACCCTTCCCTACCCACATATGTTCTTTTTAAAAATACACAGCATTGCTAGTTTTCTACAAATTTTCTGTAGGCAACTTTGTGCGTTTTTACTGTCACTGAAAGAGAATGTGTTCTATTTATTATTCTATCTTACTTTGTACAAGGTAGATTGCAGGCAAAGATCTATATGCAATGAATCAAGTAAGTATTGATTCTGTCGGCAATGTTAGTAATAATAGGACCCTATGGTCATACTAGATATGCCATTTTGTAAAAAACATCCTTTTTAGTTTGCATTAGAACGTTAATCACTTTTATGTGCATCTCCTTCAAGAAAAACTGGCTTGCCAAACTCCTAGAGAAAGAATCTTAAATTCTTTTATGAATGCAACAGTTGCATCTATTTGGTCTTACTACTTGTACATCAAATTGTATAGAAAACTGTGGGCAGAGTACTAGTCTTGACTTCAAACCTAGATGTGTGGCCTTGAGCATGTGTGAAATAATGCATTATTTACTGGTCAACCACTGATTCCCATGGCAGCTACTCAAAAGACATGTCTGAATATTTGCAGCATAGGTGCATATTTTTATGACTGGAATCTGAATGAATCAAATTTTCAAAGGATAGTGTAAATTTATTTGCAGTATTGGTAT